CCCTACACTAAGTTAAAAGAATTGAGTTTAACTTTGTATTTGAAATTCAACAGTATTAGAAATGTCCTTTGCTACAGCTGTGAAAACGAAATGAAAGCCAGGCAGAAGAGTTTAGTTACGGAAAGAGCCAAGAATTTCTTAGAAGATCCTCAGGCAATACATAAATTACAGGATGGTGGATCAGTGCCTTGAAAAGCATCAGATCCTCACAGTTCCATTTACCTCTAAAGGACTGTCTTATTCGTAGGGAAGTATTTGAGGAAGCCAGATAGAAATGTATTAGTGCTCCTAAGAGCCAAGCTGCTGCCTGAAGACCAAGCTGTAAGTCTTCGTGGGGCTACACCACTATCGTGTGTTCCATGGGCAGACAGAATTTTGCAAGCGTCATAAATTTGAATAGCAGACTCCTATGCCTACAATGCAACTTTAAAGTGTATTTTTTGGCACATTGGCATCTATATTATCTTTGTTCTTAATTTTGTTGCTATATTAGAAGTACATTTGACTGTATTTTCTGTATTGCTAATGATATGTATTTATCCCTGTGGTCTAGCATAATTCAGCCTCCTGGAAGTTTTGAGTCTGGTACCTCTCAAGCACTTGGGGGTTTTTTGGTTTGTGATTTTTAATTAGCAGACTGATGTGGGTTTTTTTTAGTTGCAAATACTTGAAGTTCTAGCCTCAAGTAAGTAGAACTCTCTTTAGTTTTAGAAGATCTGGAAAATGTGTTTAATGCAAAATGAGAAATATTTGAGTGCCACTAGGTGGATTAATTCTATGCACTGTTTGGTGGATTTAAGAAACTATAACCCAACGTAAAGGACAATTTGTCTGTATGTTTGCATTTAAAAAAGAATGACATTTGCAGAAAAAAGGGCTGTCTTCTCTCCATCTGTCTTTATGCAAGATCTTTGTACAAACAGCCACTCACTGAAAGCATCTGGTTGTGAATTGGTTGCTTCATCTCGGCAGGGGCATTCAAATACTCCAGGTTGCTTGCTTGATAATTACATGGTAGCATGTTTTAAAGAGGAATATTAAATGTAGAATAATAGAGAAATTGTGGTTTGATTGCAAAATGCTTTTTCTTAAGCTGTGGTTATCTGCCTTATTTTATGTTAAGATATTGGTATTAGATTTTAATCTACATGAACTTTCAAAAATACCAGCTGAATGACGTTAAATATGGTTTATTTGCTTAATCAGTAGCCATCTGTGTAGGATGGCAGCTGAACAAAAGATATTTTGAAGGCCTGTAAAAGTATTTGTGTGTGAACATTTTGTTAAGTTTTTATTTTAATAAATGAAAATTTGTCTCGTGCACAAACCATGCTCATCCTTAAATGGCCTCATCAACTGTATGCACTGTAACTGTATTACCTTTTAGTTTGGAAAAAAAGAAAAGAGAACAAAAGGAAAATTTAATTAGAAACTGGTTCTGAACTATGCATCTTTACTGACTGTCTTCCCTTCCCTTTTTGCTGTAGGAACTGGTTTTACAGTTGATGCATTCCAGTATGGAGAAATTGAAGGCTGCACAGCCTATTTCCTTACTCATTTTCACTCAGATCACTATTGTGGGCTAACAAAAAACTTCATGTTTCCCATCTACTGTAATAAGGTAAGGTTTTCCAAGATTATAGCAGCATGTGGGTTTGGTAACATCTAGTCATCACTTATATACTGGTGATAAGATCCAGGGCCTGTCACTTGGCAACTTCTTCAGTTGTTTAAAGAAGGCATTACCCACCTCCTCTTCTTGACTTGGCAGTCTGTTTCCCCCCTCCCCCATTCCAACCCACACCTCTTGACAGACTTATAAATGTTTGTTCTAAGAAAACTTTTTTTCAGTTTGCTTTGGAGAGGTGGAATGCTACTGAAGGGCTTGATTGTACCCAGGATCTCATAGTTTCTCATGGTTCTCTCTAAGCCAGACAGTCTGACTTTGAGAGCCTTTGCTTCTAAAATAAACAAAGGCTTTTTAGATTTTGGTCCTATTCCATATGAAATCCTTTCCCTGCTACAGATAACTGGCAATCTGGTGAAGAGCAAGCTTCGAGTCAGAGAGCAATATGTCCACGTGCTGCCCATGGACACAGAATGCACCGTCAACGGGATCAAAGTGCTGCTGCTCGATGCCAATCAGTATGTGTCATTGCATTCCTTGTGGAGTACTTGTATGTGTAGAATACTAAAGAAAAATAGCTGTACAGTTACAGTTTGTTTCCATGATTTTTTCAGTTTCAGGATCTGAAAAAATAAGGGTGAAAATACTTCATATTCCTGATTTGGCTTAGTAACGTGCGTTTTCCCTTCAGAAGTCAATTAGGGATGTAGGACCCTAAATTTCTTGCAGGTAGTTTTTGAAATATGTGAGTGACCTTTGAAAACGAAACTTAGGCTTTTTTGATAATTTTAGTTTAACATTACTTTGTTTGCTTGTAATGAGTACATAGTGTTAACCACACATAGTTCCATCGTTTTTAAACTCGTTAAGTGGTTGAATGATTTTTCTACTGGACTGGACACTTCTTTTTTTGGTGTTTAGTTAGGAACACCCTAGGTTTGATTATCAGATATGTTAGTTTTCTGTAGCTTCAACTGAAGATAGTGAGATCTTCAGCTAAATTAAAATGTGGTACTTTGGATCTCAGGAGAGACAAAACCTAGAAAATGGAACTTTAAAGAAAAGCCTGTTGAAATCTGAAGCAAGACGTCTGCTGGATTTGATGGTAAAGGGTGAGATTTTTGTCCAAGGTGACACTGGCACTGTGTAGTAATGCTGGAGATGAAGTTCAGTAGCACCTGAATTCAGTGCTGTGCCCTCACTGTTCTGCCTCTTGGTACCTTGTTTGGCTATGAGCTAGAGAAGTCCTCTCCCTGAAGTTTATATTGAAATGCAGTTCTGTGTCACAGCTGGTTTGAATATTACTTATCATAGGATTTGTTTATAGTTGGAGAGAAAAGATTCCATGAAGTCCTTTGAGAACCCTTTCTGGGAATGAAGGAAGTCTCGTTGCTTATGTAATATGGACACGTCTCATTTTTCCTGTTTGTCTCTCTGATCCCCTGCTTCAATTTAAAAGGCATATAAACCTTAGGTACAAAGTTCAGCTTCTTGGAGAATTCACTAGTTCTGTCATTTTAGCTCTGATTCATGCCAGTTCTTCCTTTTTTGAGATTTCATTTACCCTTTACAGATGATTCATGTCCAAAATAGTCCCACTCTCGCTTTCCAGTCTGACCTCTTGCTCTTCAGACAGCTTTGGCGAGGAGCTGCAGAAGGTGCAATGGATTTGCTGTGGGCACTAAGAGAATTGTATTTATAACCAGAGAATTCTGGATGGAAGATAACGTTTAAAATCTGCAAATAGCATTTAAAAGGAAATGCTTCAGTAAGTCCTGCAGGAACAAAGATGCATCTGCAATAATACAGTCCTGATTGTCCTGAATAAGAATGCCGCTTCTCTTTGGTGTGCTGTTTCCAGTTTGAATCAAGTAATAGAACCTCGGAGATTGCAACTGTGGCAGCATCTTTGCCTACCTAGAAGACAGAGCATCCCAAAAGGGCAGTTAATGCTTAATTACTTTACTGTTGATATGGGTCTTTTCTTCCCTTCATCTTATGCTCAGAGCTCTCAGAGCTCAAGTCTAGCTTGTTTATGGCCATAAGATTAGCTTCAGAATTCCTTCAGAAATGAGGAATTTCTAACTCAATTAGGGTGCACAGTCGCTGTGATTTAAAATGCTGTTCTGCACACATTCTGTATATATGGTAGGCTGGTTTATCAGTGTAGAGCACTAACGTGATTTGTGTGGGGCTTTTCCTGGTTGCAGCTGTCCAGGGGCAGCAATGCTCCTGTTCCGTCTGCCGAGCGGAGCTGTCGTTCTGCACACGGGGGACTTCAGGGCAGACCCTTCCATGGAGCGCCACCCCGCTCTGCTGGCTCAGCAAGTCCACACCCTGTACCTGGACACCACGTAAGCTGGGCTTCCTTTGTTTTTTATTTTATTTTTCAATAAAACCCTCTTTTCAATTTAGTAAGACTTTATATGAACCAAATAAATCTAAGAATAAATAGTGTTACTGTTTTAACACTTGCTAGCTCTGTTTAGTGTTGAATAAAATTGGGTGTTTATTAGAAGTCCCTGTCTGTCCAGCTTGTCCATCTGTCACACTGTCACCTAAGAGATTAAAAGTGGGTAGTGGAGAGATGCTAAAGTAATTGCTGATCTGGCCTTGTTATGTATATGTGGCATTAGATTCTGGGTGTCAAAATTCATACATTGAGTGTTCAGCTCTGAAAAAAGAGGTTCATGGAACACTGGTTTTATCTGGATTCAGCTCTATTATGTAAAGGGGGAGGGGTATTCAAAGAGTGGCAGAATACCAAATAGTTAAATTGGTTGTCTGGATTTTCATTAGACCTCTCTCTGGCTCAAGTATATAAAATTGTTTTTCTGTGTATGATGACTAATGCTCAGCTGCAGGCTTTTATTTCTGTTCCATATGTTTCTGTGAATGAATAATGCCTTAAGTTATGGTTTCAGTGCATGATAAAAAATAGACATAAGGATGTAATTAGTGAGTGATACAAATATCTAGCTTGAAAGAGCACTTGGTATTTATAGAGAAAAAAAAAAATGCATATTTGAGTGTTAGTGTCAGACAAGTGGAGAGTTACAGAGAAAAGACCAATATGCTCAATATAGATTTTATTGCAGCAATTTTATCTGAGGACCTCGGTGTTTCTAAGACACAGATTGCAAATAGGCTGAAATATATAGAAGGATAACATCTTTTCATTACTTTGTGGTTGTATGCATGCAGTTTTGAGGGCCTTTTTGGTAAATTCAGGTATCTTCTACCTTGTGTAACGAAGTGGTATGTCTTGTTTCCATGCCCCAGATACTGTAGTCCTGAGTACACTTTTCCTTCCCAACAAGAGGTTATCCAGTTTGCTGTCAATACTGCTTTTGAGACGGTCACTTTAAACCCACGTACTCTAATTGTCTGTGGCACCTATTCCATTGGAAAAGAGAAAGTTTTTTTAGGTATGTAAAAGAAAGGTAGTGGGGCAAACTAAATTACTGTTTGAGTCGGTGTCAAAAGATCTTTATATCTTAAATTAAAAGGGTTGCTTAGTCAGGTGTTATCTAAAGAAATGAAGTATATCTAATAATCTTACTGCTAGTTTTTTAGTTTTCTAATCAATAAGTTTCAACCTTCTGAAAGAAATATTTTTCTGCCATGTTTACAACCTTCCAAATATGCAGAAGGCCAATTTGGATATTAAATGAATTAACCTATTTAATTGATTGTGGTGAGAAAATCACTAATCGCAATTGGGGAAAAAAAAAAACATAAATTAGGTCTTTATGACATTTCTGGTATTAATTTCATGTCATCAAGAAACAGCAAAAGGAACTAGTTATTCTTAAACTTCTATTTTGCTAACGTTTTTCTTTCTTGGTTTATATTACGTGTTTTCCTAAATATTTATAGTAATCAGTTGCAAGGAAACAGTTTTTCCCACAGCATTCCCCAAACCAAAACATCTCTTCTGGTCTAGTGAAAATCTGATGTGCTATATGTCCCTCAGTTACAGCATTAAGAACCAACGTGAGTGTACAAATGTATACTCTAGAGCAGGCAGCTGTGCACTGTTTGTGCTCCTGAGTATATTTAAAATCATCAGTACAAGGCTTCACTCTCACTGAAATTTAGTCTGTCTTTAACGTGGACTGTTTATGTTTTCACATATTCCCCAAACTATGCATGTTTTTGGCATCTTTGAAATAAATACCAGTTCACATTGGTAACATTCTACTAAAGAAATATGACTTAGAAGTTATCAAAGTACTTCCGTTCTCTTCCCAGTTGTCATACACATTTTTGCTGCTAAAATTATAGGAGCTGGAGTTTTGTAACACCTGTTACAGGTTTCTCTTCTTAGTTTTAGAATACGAAACGCTGTAGCCTGTTGAATGTGGATTATTTAAAATAGTAAAAATGATTCAGTGCAATAATCAGGAATATCTCCAAAACAAACCAATTCTTACAATTTTCTTTATCTGATTTCTTCTCAACTAATCCTAAAGCAATTGCTGAAGTTCTGGGCTCAAAAGCAAGTATGTCCCGTGATAAGTACAAAACACTGCAGTGCTTGGAGTCAGCAGCTGTTAATTCCCTCATCAGTGTGGACTGGCAGGGTACTTTGCTTCACGTTCTTCCCATGATGCAAATTAATTTTAAGGTAAGTTCAGAAGATGGACTCTGTTGATTACCCTGCTGGCTGGTCTTGATGTTGGCCCCTCCAAAGCGGGTGTTGTGTTTCGTGCTTTTTATCCTATTGTCAGATTGTATTTATTCAGTCAAGTTTTGACATGTAGCAATGCATTGAAAATGAAATGCAATTAAAGATTAATATCTGTCTCCAAACGTGATGCACAGAAAGTGTAATTTCACTTCAGTGCAGTGCTTCTACAAGATCAGGTGAGGTTTGTTCAAAGGCTTGCTCTTTGCAGGCCTTTTTGAAGTCAATTTATGTAATGACTGCAGGATCTGTCCTATTAGCAAGTAATATATTGTGACAGGGAGTCCCTGTTTTTCAGCCTGTCTTTTACCTGGTATGATGGAGGAAAAGACTAAAAGGATTTTCTGCCTGTGTGAGCCTTTCTGTTTGGAGGCAGCCTGTGAACATGGCCAACTTCCAGTCTGGCATGTGATAAAAAAAGGAATAGGGTTCTCCATGTTCCTCTCAGCTCAGTTTCCATGTATTTATAATCATATAATATAATAGTATTCTCTCTCCTTCTGTGCTGAAGATTTACATGGGGATGTGGACACTTGAAAGTCAGTGAAAACTCACACATAAATACAGCAAGTGATTTGAAGGACACCTTGTAGATGCATATACTTTTGCTTTTCTGCACACAGTCTTACCTCATATTTGTTGCTAAAGCAAGTTAAACCAGTGTAAAACATTAATTTATCCAAGTTGCCCTCAGATGCACATTTCAGTTGAGATTTGAGACCGTGGGGTTTTGTTGTTGAGTTTTTATGGGAATTCATTAATTAGAAAAGGTGACTAATTCCCAGAGGAAAGGAAGTTTTTCTAAGTAGGCTACAAAATACAAAATGGCATTAAGGCAAAGCAGTGAGGTCTAGTTTAAAGGTAGGCTGGAAGAAAGAGAAAAACAGTGATCATTTACACCTCATGGGCTTGGATTCTTTTTCCTTCTTTGCTTCATCCCTGCTGTGCCATCTCAGGCATATCCTTCAGAGCAAGAAGATATTTAGCTGCAGGACCAGTCAAGGTCAGAGTTGACCTAAAAAGGAGAAAAAGAGGCAATATGATTTGGATGAGAGCTGCAGGAGATGGAACTTAATATCTTAATGTTTTAACGTTGTTCTGTAATCTTTTCCATGGTGGGGCAGAAGATGAGTAATGGAAATGTGTATGGGTTTATTTTTAATGTGTTGTGTTGTCTTAAACAGTAATATATTGTAGTTCCTTCTGCATTTTTTTGGGTTATGTTTTTCTGCTGTTATGCATCCCAGTGTATATGGAGTACTCGGCTAGCTGGACTTATTCAGGCAGAGGATGTGATTATTCTGCAAGGAAGTCTAAACAGCCTTACTCCTCAGAGAGAGGCAAGTAGCATCATGTGCAGGGTCTCATCTCTGAGAACAGGGGGTTCCAGACAGATACACAACGTGCCAGAAGTGGTGGCAGGAGAGAATAAAGGCACAGGGACCTGGTGGACAAGAGTCGTGCTGTAACAGCCGTGGCCCTCTGCACTGGGGCTTTGACTTCACACGTGAAGTTGTTGGACATGCTCTCACACTGTCATTAGTAAGGTTGTGTTCCTGTAAGCTGGGTGTGCTGGGTAGACTTCCAGAGTGCTAAACATCTGATGATGCCAGGATCTAGATGAATGCCTGGGTGGAATGTAGTATCAGTAAGATGTGGAGAATGTTAAATGCTTAAAGATGAGTTAATATCACCATTTGTATTACTTCTGCTCCAGCAGCATTAGTAAATACAATCTCAGAAAAGATTTTTAAGAATAAATTACCTGGTCATTTGTAATCTCATCCTAGTTAAAGGATGATGAGTGATAGCATCTTGGATTTGCAGGCCAGGTAAATGCCAATGTCATCATCTCCCGTTGCACGTTTTTGTCCTGTGCTGGATTATACAGGTTTTGTGCTCAATTACTGGGTTATTACTGGGAAAGCCAGAATTTTTTTCATGATCGTCATCACTAAATGCCAATGTCTTGGCTGTCATCTGGATCTCTTCTCCTTCATCTGTTTTATTTGATCCCTAGCCCTACCCCAAACCACAATCCTGCTTCTTAATCTGGGCTAATTTCCTGCTTGTGTAGTTTCAGCTGCGAACCTACAAATCCATGAAATCCTTGTGGGATTATTCTCAGTCAAAAGCTTAGAATCAGTCTTTATTTAGTAAATGGAGTACATCTGTGAACTTGTACATCAGTTGCCTTTTTGGCAGAATGCAAATAGTCAAACTCTGATGCTGTATTAAAGTATATCCTAGAAGCCCCAGTTTTATACCCCCTTTTTTTCCCTGTTACGCTTTTTACTAATGGGAGAAAACCCAAACCTGTCTGTCCACCAGGCCTGATAGTTCAAAGAATTGTATGATTCTTCTCCCTTTTATTGTTGAAAAACTTCTCTGGTCTGCTTCTGGATAAAGAACAACAAACTAAGGCTGCATAAAATATATGTACTTGCCCTAGCTGAAGCCTAGTCTGCAGTAGCTGTTGATAAAGCTGTGCCTGCCCAAGGAAAGGTTCTGAGTTTCCAAAGCTGGCAGCTCCCAGGGCTAAATCTGGATGCTCACAGCTTTTCTTTCCACCCTGAACAGAAAGGAAATGATTTATTATTTTGAGGTGCTCCTGCATCTACTTCCTTGTTCACTGGCTTTCTGCTGCGACCTGGAGCTTTTTTTTTTTTTTTTTTTTCCCTGATCCTTGAGTCTTCAGATTGCTGAAAATTAATTTTTTTTTTTTAAAATAAAATTGTTTTTTTGAAGGCATATTCAGGAATTTTAGAAGCATTTTTGTAGTCTTTTCTGTGACTATTTTTTTTCCTTTTGGTGGCATCGTCCACCTGTTTCATTCCAAGTTTGAGGCTATCTGAAATCCAATTTTCTCCCTGTTGATTTTCAGGAGTAATATCAAACATGTTTTTTTCATTTTGGAGTCAGCTGTTCTATTAGTTGGGACCAACTAGCTTAGCTATTCATGTATGATTTATAAACACTGTATTAATTCAGCAGGGAGAGTCATTCACCTTAAAGCCACAGGCACTTCAGAAAAGTACAGAAACCTCTCTGTGTCTTTCCCCTAGTTACCAGAGTTTAAAGGCACATACATATTGTTACCTTCTGCCTAGAACTGAAGCAAACAAAATGAACAGTGACTATATTTGTTATAAACCCACTATGAAAAACAGGTGGATCAGTTTTTTATTGCTGCACCAGCGTCACTGTCTCAAAAACCTGTTGAAGAAACAAGTTCAGCTTTGAGATGAAAATGTCTCTTTTCTGCTTTATAAATTCACATTGATATCCTCAATCTGTAGTTAGCACAGAAGCAGTCCTGTTTGTAACACTGAATACCTGGCCAGATATCACTAGGCTTGATGTGTTTTATCCAGGCATTATGACTTCCCCTCCTTGGAAAGAACCAGTACTTGCAATGAGTGTTTGGCCAAGATGTGTGAAGTTGGAAGGATAAAACTGCACAGAACAAGGCACAGGGGAGCAGAGGCAGCAGAAATATAGTGGCAAAGGAAAAATACAAAAGGCAAACTTTTTTGTGGCATTGTGTTACTGTTGGATTGGGTAGGGTTCTTTTCATTCATTTGTTTTCTTCCTAAGCTCTGGCTTTCTTGAGGAGTTTATTTATTAGGAGTTGATATCAAACTTTATTCCAGTACTGCTTTGGTCAGAAGTGAGGTGGCATGATGTAGATTCATATTCTGGATATTCTTAATGGGATAATATTTGCATAAATTAAAGAAATTAAAATATATTTCTGATTTTTATAAGTGTAGTATTTTATCTAAATATTCATAAAAATGTGGATTGCTGCAATATTGCAAGTGGATTTGATAAATGAAAAGGAAAGATTTAAAAAAAATAAATCAAAGAGATGTGGTATTACATTGTTGTGTGCAACAGTTGGTTTTAGTCCAGTAAAATACAGGGGTTGCTGTATGTACTGATGAATAGCTGTGCTTCAATAAGTCAAATGAGTTTAAGTGGTGTTAGGGCTGACTGTAAATTGAGTATTTAATCATGTTTGAGTCTCCTACCTTATGGAATCTGTTGGCGTGCACTGCTGACTTCAGCGACGCTGTAGATAACAGGCTGCCATGGTGATTGAAGGAGGTTGATTTAGCAATGAAACATATTTTCCAGTTTAAAAGGATGAAGATTTAGAACAGCATTGGCTAAAGCAATAAAAGAAGAAATTGGAATGTCAATTTAAAATAGACTGGTTATGAATAAACACTGTAGTACTTTGTTTTGTGGAAAGAGGCCATCTTTTCTAAAATGCATGTGTGGTTCTTTTGAAAAAAAAAAAAAAAAAAATTTTTTTTCTAGCAGTCAAAACATTGAGCCTTCTGCCACTTCAATATGCAGTGGAAGATTTCCAGAGAACTGTGGACTTTGGGTCTGGGCACCTCTTTGATGTTGCTTGGCTCAGTAATGTCTTGTTCTAGCATCAAGGTGAAATTTTCAAAAGTGCCTATGATGGAAAAGCATAAATAATTTTTATGAGATTTAAATTGCATCCTTAATAGGAATGTTGTACACTTGATTTATAACAAAATTTGAAAGCAGATTAGCATTGGTTAATGTAAGAAATAATCATTGCATTTGAAGTACCGTATTTAGATTTCATTAGAGCAAGGGGAGCAAATATGTGAATTATTACTTTAATCTTACCACAATGAAGTGAAATCAGACTGTTGCAGTTACACCTTTAATGTAGTGAGGTCTGGAGGTTTGCAGCACGTTAGGAGTCATGGCAGGTAGCCATAGTTCCTGTTGCTGAATGGAGCACGTGGTGTGGTCGGGTTTTCTTGTTCTCTTGTGTGCCTGGCTTGATGGATTCAGTACGTTCTTGCTGGACACTACTGAAGGTGCTGTTGAACGTGGCAGGGTCAAGGGCAGCTTCCTCCTTCCCTGCTTAGCAATTGCCAAGTGCCTGACAGGTTAGTTATGTCCTATCAGTCTATCCACCTTTCCCCACCTCCTTTTAATCAGCCTTTATTCTGTGTTCGTCTTCCTGCTGCTGATACTAAGTTTATCATTTTGAGTTCTATCATCTTGTAGGGCTTTTAGATGGAGAATGTGCCTTTAAGTTTTTATACAAGACACATGAAATTGATTTTCTGTTTTCGGTTTGAAATTATACTGACTTCACTTTATCCAGGAATAGGATTGCACATTCCTTATACTTCCCTGTTGCCCTCCTCCCAGTTTAGCTTAAACCATGCTGAAGGACAGCTTAGCTAACTGGGAACCTCTTTCAAGTTCTTTTTTTTTCAGAGTGAAGAGATGAGAGGTGGTTTCCTTCCTCTCATGAATGGAGATGTGGCAAAACACGGTTCAGTGCTCAGAGCAATACTCAACTCATGCACTGGCTTGCTGCGATATTTTGGGCAGCTTGCTTAATTAACCCTCAGTGTTTCTGGGCATGAGCAGATGTCAGGATCTCAGTGGCACTTTGAATTAACCAGGTCATTTTGCACTGAAGCAGGCTTTCACCATCACCACTCTGCTTCAGGAGTGCTGACCTCTAGCCGAGAGGGGGAGATAAGTGACTTGGGGAGCAAGATCTCTAAGATGGTGTGATTATGCTTTATGTGCTTGGGTCTGCAATGCATAGCTATTAACATGTACTCCTTCAGATGAGCCTCAAGGTTAAGGTACAAGGTGCTCTGCAAATACAAATACCATTAATAATTTCAAGGGAGATGGTATTTAAAATTTTAAAAATAATAACAAAACATGAATGTAAAATTCATTCTAATTTAAGTCTTTCCATGGTGAAGTCTCCAACTTCTAGACTAATGAGCTATTTAATGGGATTAAGTATATGCTATATTATTTTCACAGAGCTTGCAAGATCACTTGAATAAATTTTCTGAGAATTTTGATCAAGTTGTGGCTTTCAAACCTACTGGATGGACCTACTCTGATTCATGCCTTTCTCTGGTGGATATCAAACCTCAGACAAGAGGAAAGATCACCATATATGGTATAAGAGTGGTAAAGATTTGGTGCATTTAATTTTGTGTGGCTGCTTTTAATATTTTTATTCTGGAAACACCTCCTGTTCTTTGTAACCAATGCTTTTTCTGTTAACTCACTGAGAAACTGCACAGATGGTCTCTCCAGGAGAGATCTGTGAACTGTCTAATCAGGAACACCACAAATTCAGATCTCTTATGTACGTTTTGCTCCTGTCCTCCTCGTAGAAATAAAGGCCTTTATTTAATATAGGTGGAGACTTCAGGGCTGAAGTCTTGGCCTGACTGATGCTGGTGGAAGATTTCTTTCCATACCTCACTCATTTGTAAGAGTCTGTGGATCTTCCTCAGTTCTCACTGGTGGGTGGAATTGAGTCTCTTAATGTTCATTTAACCAAATGCTTGGTGTCACTTAGTTTGCACCCATTGATGACTCAGTAACTTAATGCACAGTCATTTTTCCAGGAGGAAAATCAGGGTTTTCCTTTTCCCTTTGGTATAAAGTTTAGATCTCAAATATGAGTGGAATAAAATATTATCTGAAGTATTCCTTAGCCAGAAGGCTATGAAAAGCATTTTGGCAGGAAGCTAAGCAGACTGACAGTTGCTGCGCCCGGTTTCGTTGCAGGGATTCCTTACAGCGAGCACAGCAGCTACCTGGAGCTGAAGCGTTTTGTTCAGTGGCTGAAGCCACAGAAAATCATCCCTACCGTAAACGTCGGAGACTGGCGGGCCAGGAGCTCCATGGAGAGGCATTTTAGAGACTGGATGACTGAGGGCAGTGGGCATAAATAAACCTATGGAAGAATATATATTTCAAAGGAGGTAGGCTGGAATGGGAATTGTGAGTTCCTGTGAGTTTGGGTGTTTTTAACTCCTTTTTCTACAGAGCTTTCTTCAGGCAGGACTGAGCTGCCATTCTTCTCAGAAAGCTGAATTCGGAAAAAAAAAAAAGGGCATCTTGCTTCCTCATGTACCTACTACTTGTTTTTCCCACAACTTAATAACTTTTTGCAAATGTATATTTCACGTTATTTTTATCTTCTGCCTTTTCCCCTTAATCTTCTTGATTTTCCTCAGATTGTGGAGATGCCCAGATGTACAGTGCTGGGGAAGAAACTGCCTTCCAGGTTAATCATTTCTGAAAAGAAGTTACTGTAATAAATGAGATGATGTTGAGCTTATGCCACATGCCATCAGATCAGGCTTCAGAGAAGCTCCTTTCGTGAGGCAGAAATGACTGTTGTGATTTAAATCTTGTAAACGAAATTTCCCTTGAGAGAGGACTGGCTCAGGCTGTTTGCAGGCTTTGCTTCGGGGGGTGATTTTTATAACAGACATTGTTACCTGCATTCCGCTCTAGATTTTTAATATTTCATTTTTTAAAAAAAAAATAAAGAACCTATAAAGAACCTGCATGAGGCCTGTGTGCTCTTTCTAAGCAGAATGCATTTCATAATGCAGTGGGTAAGAAGTGTTTGCTGAGAAGCCTGCCTGTAATACCTGTGGTGAGTGTCCTGGGCTGCTGGTTGTGTGAGGTCGCTCCTGCGTCCCGGTGGCGCAAATTCTCGGCACACGGTCGTAGCACAGAAGTACTACACTCTCCATGGAGTCCCCTACAGTGCATTTGGGCTGCAGGGTTCTATGTACAGGTTTGTTACTTGAATTCTGGAAGAATGAGGAAGGTAAATATTAGTATTGGCAGCAGAAAGGTAAGTTTCATTTGGCATTTTTTTCCCCTGAATGCCACCAGACTATCAGTGCTGCTTGTCCTGTGTCTGCTTGGTGTGATGCTGGACTACGTGGTTGCATGCAGGCACACTGATATCATTTTAAGCACTAAACCAAAAACTCTTCCAAACTCCAGCACTTAAAAAAGTTGTATCATGGGTGAAGAATCATCTCCCAGCCCCCCAAGAGTAGCTAATTTGAAAATTTCCTCAGTGCCACTTTTTATTGAGAAAACATCTCTTTAATGATCATTGTAAGTAAAGCCAGATCCCTGTCTTTAAATTATGAGCTCTGTAATGTGAAGTCACTTTGCTTTATTTCTGTCTTCCAAGAGAAGTAACTGTAAAACTCTGAAGAAAAAAGTTCTTGTACTGATTTACAGTTTTCAGTACACTCACTGAAATATGACATTGTTTTTATTTTACCTAATAGATCGTGAGAGCTCTCCTTGTTGTGAGAGCTGTTAACTGTCTTGGATTGGTGTGGTCATTTCTAGGATTCCACTCTTTGCTGGAGTAGGTGTGTGAAAAATTATCTTTCACAGCCCTTGCAAAAACAGTTTCTGCCCTGCTACCCAGAATGAAGGGTTGGTTGTTTTGTTTTGTTTTGTTTTTGTTTTTTTTCCCCCTTGCTTTTAAAAGTAAATTTATTTCTGGAACTAACTTCAATAGCGATGCATCTTGGAAGGCACTGACACTGGCACCTGCTGGACTGACCCAGTTAATACTGCCCTGATTTGGAACAGATGGTGACTGGCTCACTTCAGTCAGCAAAGCAGAGTGGATTTTGTGCTGCATTCCCTTTTTTTTTTGTCTCTGTGTGCTGTGGTCTGTTTCCAATTGCCTGCCCTGCTGTAGGTGTTCCTGTGTCAGCCCGCTGGTTGCTTTCATTCCTCCCTCTTCGTGGCTGGTATTTGCACTTACACCAGCTGTATTTTTGTGGGTATACTTGAATTCTGTAGCATTTCCTCCACCTTCATGTTAGATCTCCACATTACCCAGTTACTTGACCTCCTTCGTATGGAAATAAGTCTTTTCAGAATCCAAACTCGGGAGTAAATTACTGGTTTGTTCTTACTGTAAAGGAAGAAGATTAATAACAGGATTTGATTGCTTAGATTGCCAAGGTGGACGTAGAATCAGATGTGGAAAACCATTTAGTTAAAGAAGAACTTTGTGGGAAGATTTCTAGCAGGACCTTTTCTTTTCTCTAGGTTGCTCTGGGATGGATATCTGATCATAGCAGCCTGAGTCTGTTGGGGACCACAGGTCTGTGATGAACCCGAGTTCAGCATCACTGTGTAGGTCTGACAATTAGGACTTAGGAAGTGGCTCCACTTTTCAAAACAAAGCAGTGAATGGTGGGGTTTTTTTGTTTGTTTTTGCATTATAGATGGGTGAGCAGAAGCATTCATTGTTTTGGTTTAGAGTGGTGGTTCTGACCACAGCAAATCTATCACTTTTTCAGAGTCAATAGTTGAGGATTTTTGGTCTCTATGTTAAAGATGACTAGACCAGAGTCCCCTGGACAGTGGGGTGGATGAATCAGTCTGTGTCTTTAACCTTCACATCAAATGAGTGTCATGTGTTGGTATAAATTCAGATTTTGCTCAAGCAGGATGGGCCTGTGAACATCCTGGAGGCTCTTGCAGTTTGCCTGGTGCTGACAGACTCGGGGCAGAAGGCAAAGGGAATGAGAGGGGCAGCTGCAACACTCGCTTGATCAGCGCCCAGAATGGTTTTCAAAGCCAGCCACTCTAAAGGATCACTTTGTATTTCCCATCAGGACTCCTGCTCTGATTACATATCACCCCAATAGGCAGATAAATGAGCTAAAAGCAGCACAGTTTGAGAAGGGTAGAGGGAGGGGAGAGGAAGGGAGCAGCTCCCCCACTGTGCTGACTCAGGCAACGGGGTTTGGGCTGGCTGTCATAAAAATGAGAGCAGCTGCCTCACCATGGCCCATGGTGGCCACTGAGGAGGCTTCTGGGAAGGTGAATCTGAAGACACTGCAAAATAAAAGCACATGGACAGTTAAAGGGAACTTCAAGGTGCCAGGTATCTTTTTAAACTTTGACTTGAAAACGATCAATAGCAACTTGGAGTGGAAAAAGGAACAGAGATGTCATTGGTTTCTCCTATCTGATCCAACCTGTCTACTCATATGTGCTTAGTAAAGGCTATTAAGTTGCTGTTTAAGTTTGTTTTTTTGAGATAGTGTGACTTCAGATACATCTTTCAGGCAATTTGGGACTGATTTTTATGGAGACTGTTTTGAATTTGAAGAATTCTTAGGGGTATTAGAAGTCTCCTTAGAGGGGAGGCTTATTACCATATCAGGCCAGAGGTGCAGTTATGGCCTTGATGTGCTTTCTGTGTCTGCTGAATATTATTTTGTGAGTGTTCTTTGGTGGGGGACAAAAAGCAGGTGAGTTCGAGAACAAGAGAATGCAGCCTGAACTTTTACATCCCCCCTTCATTACAGAAAACCAGCTGCTTCTTGTTTGGAATCAAAACAAATAAAAGCATCTTTTTTGAGGGTGGGGCATAGGCTGCTCTGTGTCTTTAGGATTTGTAGTGAAACGATGCAATTTGAAATTGTATTTGATGCCTGCCATTCTGACTCTACCGTGTTCACAGAACACCTGGTAAAACCCACAGCGTCTAGGGGGAAATATGATGGGGATGGATGAAATTCACAAGAATCATTGAAAGTTTGTCAGTACAATATTAGAAATCAGAGCTCTTGCGCTTAAACTCAATTATAAATGTGCATTTGGGGTGCTGAGTTTAATGCTTTTGCATAGAAAAGCTAGAGGGAGCTTGGAGCCCTCTAACAGAAATGAAGGGACAAGCTGGGCTGCCGCTGTTTGCAGAGAAGGGGAACGGGACACCCCACTGTCTGAGGGCAGGAGGGTCAGTGGAGAAGCTGGAGCCTGCAAGGCAGAGCCCTGCACTGCCCACATGCCTCCTCTCCTTCCCCTCTCTGCTCTGAACCTTTACCCACTGCTGTACAATGGCACCTTGTTATCGAATCTCCAGCAAATACTTTGGCAGGGAAGAGTCTTTTCCACTCTGTCACATCTGAGCTGGTATCTCGGAGCAGATAGTGACTTGTTTGTGCCAGTTTCCAATAAGTACTTACATAAAACAAACGGTTTTTAAAAGCCCTAAGCTTTCCCATTTCACATTTGAATTTAATTTTATTCACCTTTCCTTCTGTACGTTGCATTGGTTGTTGCGGAAGGAAGAGGGAAAAAACTCTCCTTCTTGGGAAGAAAAGATACCAACAGAGCAGCCGAGGAAAAGGTGACACAAGGACACGGATGTGAACAAGGGTGGTGACTTTGAAGCTGAGTTCAGCCAGATCAGGGTTGGCTGCGAGGTTCTGCATGTACAAACCCCCACTGCCTGCTCACCACCTTCCTCCCTGATGATTTCAGCAAACTCTGGCGTGAGAGCAACATCCTTTTTTATTTCCTGATCACTCCAGTCACTTGTCAGCTCCCAGCAGAGACCTCCCCAAACGCAGCACTGCCAGCAGCAGGATCTAACCCACTTCTCAGCTCCCGTTTTAGAGGAGGGACTCTGGGGGATTTATCCCAGCAGGGCCTCCTGAATCAGAGAAGGACAGGTTGGATTCCACCTGTTAGCGAAGCCGCTGCTTGGCTCTGCCCTGCGCTGGTGCCTGGGCGGGGCGGTACCGCTGCAGCTCCGTCCCCAGCCACCGCCGGAGGAACTGAGCTCTGCAGCGCAGCAGCAGCCTGGGTTTCCTCTGACCCCGGCACGGTCGCTCACAGCACAGCTCCCGCCTCCCAGGGTGGGTGGGTGATGATTAACTACCGACCTGCCCGAAGAGATCAAGGGGTGGGGAGCTGGGTGTTCTCCCGTGTGCTCTCTGGGCGAGGGCTGGCTCTCAAGGCTGGAAAAGCCAGGCTCAGGACAGGGGGGTGGGGTGAGGAGGGCAGGCTCTGTAGAGCTGCTGCCAGCTTGACCTGGGATCTGAGGCTGCCCCGTGGTGGTGCCTCCACCAGCACCACCTGCAAACCTTCCCCGAGTTACTTTGGAGGGTGTTTGTCCTGCCTCACCTGCTGGATGGTGCTTCCAACCTGCCTTGCTGAGCACCACGTGCTGACAGTGTCCAGGCCACTTCCCACCTGAG